CATGTTGTGGATAATAGGGCATTAGAAAGGAGTGAAATTCGTAGGGAGGACCATGATGGGACTAAAAACAACTGTCAGGAGAATGGGCCATACGAGCATCGGACCTGGCCGGCGGGTGATACTGTCAGCCTTAGCTGGCCAATACGGCAGTTGTCCCAAAGCAGACTAGTTCAGAGGTCTAGTGTTGCGAGCGGTATCTCGCCCAGGTCAGTGAAGTGTGTTCGGGCTGTTTCAGACAGCGACCTTTTAATGCAGCACCGGCTGGAGCTATTCCACGTGACTGGTAAGGTTCCGCCTTCGAAGCCGCAGTACTCTCCAGCCGTCGGAAATCGTGATCCACGGTAAATGGAGCCCATTTTGTTGAAAAGTTCGAACTTACTATTTCGAAATAAGGCGAACTCCTCTCTCTCTCTAGTAGCGCGTAAAAGTCGCGTTTCGCGGCCGTTAAACAGGGTGACTGCTCTCGACCTCATCATGCCTCTCAGCAAGGTATTGGGTTCTTGACCCGACTACATGTCCCTAAGTCATGTACTGCGATTTAACCTCTGACACTGATTTGTCAGTAGCAGAAAGGAACGGAGGATTCGATCTCCCTGCACCATTCGTCACCCCAGCGTTTAATCTTGTGCTGGCTTTGCGGGGGAGAAAAGCACGCTGGTAAGGTTAAGATGGGTTTTCGGAGGGAAATCCCAAACAGGGTTATGTCTCCGGCACTTCCGAGGTCCGAACCAGGACGCAGTCGTGGTGTGCCGTTGTCTTACGACTACCGTCCGTTCAGTACGTTTGCGCGATCACAGTACAATGCGTGTTTGACGTAGTCATCAGTGGTCCCCATGGCAGTTTCGAAGATCAAAATTTCGGGCCTTGGTTTTCGGAATATTGTATGAGGCGCGAGGCCGCCGCGGCTCAGCACTGCATGGAGGTTTACACTCCTTTTCGTGCCTTCTTGATCTCGGCTTAGTTTCCGCGCTGACTTTGCGGAGTTAGCTTACATGTTTTAATGCCCTCCCATTTTGCATGTTTTTGGTGTTGTGACATTGCTATGGATGCTGAGCTACATTTCTCGGATGGAATAGTTGACCTTCATAATCATCGTGATGCAGGAGTCGACACAGCTTCATCTCTGCATCGCACTTAGCCTACCGAGAAAACCGTTCCCCTTCCGGCATCATTTTCAGTTATGAGCAGCGCTTGCCTAGGTGGAACACTTACTGCTGCTCATTCTATTCCCCGTGGCTTTGGGGTGGAGAGCTACCAATTCTGTTTAGCTTCTTCTGGACTGACGCAAGTGGCGAGTGTCACCGAGGGAGCAGGGGTAACTTGCATGCACACTCGTCTACAGTGAGGCGGAAATAAGCCTCATCTACTTCACCCACTACTCCAACACTGACCTTTATCCAGGGACAAGACAGGGTTAGTAGGATTGGAGATGGCATGGATGCCGTGGCCAGAGCAATTGCATAGCACTTCCATGCGTACCGCAGACGAGTTGGTTTCAAACGCATGATGAAAGGGCTCCAAAGAGGGGAAGGGTCTCGTACGTCGCCTAAAGATGACTAAGTAGGAGTTAATCCTGAGTGAGATCGGATTATCCCGTCAATTAGCAGCCCTCCAGGGTGAGACTGTAAGCGCGCCGAGACGAGTAAGGGCGCGCTTGATTGCATATGACGACTGCGTTACGTGCCTGATCCTCTGACCCCTACTGCTACAGTGTTGAAGATGGTGCGCGTCGCATCCCCATACAAAGCTGGGTAGATCGTGGTAAGTTGGTTTTGCAGGATCTTCCTTTGCAAAAGGCTGTCCAGTATCCGGCTGTGGATCCCAAGAACCACACTAACTTGCTCCGTATGATTTTCTCTATGACCTCGCAGAGGGTGCACATCGAGCTTATAGGCCGTGATTTACCTTCAGTGCCTATTTACCGCTTCTAGTCGAAAGGAGAGATCAGAGTATCAAATTCACTTTGAAGGAACATCGGTAGAATCGTAGAAAGTCCATTTTAACTCCCCTGGAACCCCGTCCAGACCATAAGGCATCAAGCACTTTACTATCCGGATTTTTCTTAGAATGACACCATCTGAATGGAGAACATTAGTTCGACATGTCCTCAGAGGTTGCTCGACATGTCCTCAGAGGTTGCAAGAAAGAAATTTGCCTTCTTTGTGCAGATTTTTTGAGAAGACCGTGAAGCGTACTCTATCCTCTATCTGTTGTCACAAATTCCGGCAGTCAATTAATGCGCACGGGTTCCCATTCCTTCAACTATCGTGGAGGTCTCAGCGTTGCATTTAGCAGCAAGCTCAGTTCGAATCTCCCACGACTTGTTCCGCTACAATATTGCTGCAACATTCAACAGTTAGTAAGCAAGTACTTGAGTTGCACGCCGAACAGACAACTGCATAATTCAGCGGCAAAGAGATTCGATGGTTGGTTAAACTGGCCTTAGATCGCAGGGTCTCGATCATTCCCTAGGTTGTTTCTGATCAGAGAAATAGGTTTTGCTTGCGTGATCTCAACAAGGTTATTCAAGGTTTACTTCGTTGGCAAAAGGAAAACCAGTGTATATGCAAGGGCCAGCGTGAACTTTCAAGAGCTGTGCCCGAGTAGAGGTTATTTTACTGGAATGAGGAGACCACTTTCACTGCCAAAATTAGCATGGAAGCCGCCACCCCAACCAACATCGACTTGGGTAACAGGCTACAAAATTCATCCTCAGAGGTTCGATATGCTAGAGGAAGGCTGGATTGACGTAATTGGTCTTAACTGCTAGGCCCTCAATCGGCTCAAACAATATCATAACAGACAATAGCTGAAGAGTGTACGTCGGTCGCCGCGACTTATATGGTAGCTCAGGATCTCGGACTTAAAGTGCCTGGCACTAGTGCCGGTTAAACCGACCCGGGGTCCACGGCGTCACGAGTTACTGCGACCTGTGCCGTAAGTGGCCGCTTCTCAGATGGAGTGCCGGCCCTGCACGTCGAGACAGTCGGGCTCAGCATGCAGTCGCCCTTCAAAATCTTCCAGAGGGCACTCATGTCGGCTGAATCGAAGGCCATGGTAGAAAAAAGGAAACAGGTTGCGGCCCTCTGCCCAAAACAATACCCTTGCTTTAGGATTCATCACAGGACGAGTAACAAGTTGACATGGCCTCCAACGAGACAGAAACCTTAATGGTTCTCTTCGTTCGTGCGTCCTCAACGAGGGCTAAACGACTCAAAAAAGTACTGGGGCAGACCTTCGTGGCGGTATTGCTTAGGATAATGCAGTGTAATGGGACAAAAACCTTGCTACATGGATGGAAGGGGTTTACAATCGGACATGTTCACGTCGACAAGATTTCCTTCAAAGTGACTAATTAGCCTTGTAGTTCTTTCCAAGATAAAAGTTCCCGGACCCAAAATGCTGTTATCGGACGCTCAGCAAATCGCTGCATCCATGTTATATCAGTCCAAAGATCTTCTGTGAGTGAAGTTGACCAGGTGGTCTCCCCAGCTTACTCGAACCGGTTCGGATCGTGGGACACTGACGTGTTCCACGTTTGATCTAGGACCCTCCTATGGCATTAGGCGCGCACCGTTCGTTAGTTAAGTGGGACAAATGAGTAATAGTTCCCTTGCCAAGATCTCAATGCAGTCAAGCAAGCCCATTTGCTCTTGTACTGATGGGCCTTCTACCGCCCAGACGCGACCGCACAGGCGCCGAGGACAAACACAATGACCAACTCGACCTCAAGAATAATTAAGATCGCCTGCTGAGGACAATTATGTCGAGGAATGCAGTCTGAGACTTCTAGATGCGCCTAATGAAGTGTAAATGCAAAAGAGGCGCACTTGCGTGCTTCTGTGACCAAAGGGGAAGTATTCCATCCCAGTACGTTCTCTGGGCGTATGAGGAGCACTGTCGCAAAGACCCTACCTGGTCACTTTCATCTGCAGAACGACCATGTCTGAAGGGCAACTAGTGAACGGTGTGAGATTTAGAGGATAATTACCAGATCAGTTACGAAAATGTGGAATGAAAAATACCCCCACGGCTGACCTTACGCATTCGGCTAGCACAGGCCCACGTCCCCACATCAAAGCCCTTCAGGGGTTTATCAAACGCTGACAAATTAAGTTAAGGCACTGTTTCTGCCTAGAGAGAGGATGCAGCGATTCGGTCTCGAATACCGGTTCTGGGCGCAAACCAAACGATTCTGCTTGAGTGCAATGCGGCTGTTGGCTAACTATGGCGATCTGAGGGGGTCTTCGTCGAAATCCGATTTTGAGAGGCCGGAAGAATTGGGCTTCAGTTTGTATTTAAAAAAATAAGCGGAAAGTCACATTTGAAGAGAGCCTATTCTCAAAGGAAAAATGCAAAGGACATCGATCGAATCTGTCGAACGTCTTTTTATAGTTCATCATAAGTTGTGACCAGACCCCGGTCCCCAGGTGTAATAGATCAGCCTGTGCGACAATCCATCATATGGTGACGAATAACGGCGTCCGATAGCGACTATGCCCTTCGTTTAAATATGGTACTCAAGTCAAAACTCCTTCGATCGACTAGTCTGAACTAAAAACACTATCTTTGACATAAATCAGACTCACTTGGCTCTGCTTCGCCATATTTACCGGCCTTGACAGCTCTACAGAAACCTTCAACTTGACTTAGAAGACCTTTGAACTGTTCATCGTTAAAGTCCTCCAGCATGAGCCGAACGTTTTCCGTCAAGATTCGCCAGGTCTCTTGCTTCTCTGGAAGAGGCATGCTGCGGTTATCTGAAAGGATGTTTTAAAATAAAACTGATGCTACCGTGTGCAGAATCACAATCCACTTTCGGTATATCCGCTGTACATGATAAGTCTCCATTCTTCTTCATAAGGTATTTATACCTGGCTACGTCTCTTGAGGTTAGAACCTTATCGAATTTCGCTATGGATCATAGGTAGGAAAAATGACGCGTACTGTGAAATTCATCAACAACCTCCTGATTAGACAGCCGGTCGTGTCTCAACAGAACTTTGAGAAACCCCTTTTCTTCTGGATTGAGCTTCCGGTTGATAGCGTAATGCCTTGCGAGTAGAGGATCGGTCTCGTGATTGTGCCACATATAGTGCTTCCTCACAATCAGACCCTTTTCAGGCTGGTAACGCACTTCAAAGTACGCAGGACAATCGAACTTCAGCGTTCGAGAAGAAAGCGACTCCCCTCTTTTGATACCGCCGTGGATACACACGTATCTCATTCTTTGATAGGCGAAGAGGGACGTGTGTTTGCTGGATGGTGGAAGTCTATTACTAACGTAGCGCACATATTTAGTGCCTGTTTTTTTCTCAAAATCTTCCAGTCGTTCCAAGAACGACGCCAGGCTATCGAATGAGGAGTTACACATCTCCGAAGCAAAAACGCTCCCGAGGTCACCGACCATATTAGCGCAAACGAGAGTTTTCAGAGACAAACACTTGCTTTACGATAATTGGTTGACTGTTAGGAGTCACCCAGTACGAATCCGCTCAATTTACGATATGTTCAAGACCTGGAAGGCGCTTCCTTTATCCGGTGAGGTAGAGTTGACGGAACCACGGTAGGCTAAGATACAGAAGGGCAAGCGTACGTCCCAGTCGTGTTTGTGTCTGTCCTTGGAAAAAGCGAGCAGTCGGTTGTGCTATACGTCCGCTCTATAAGGCTGTTTACTCCCGGGTGTTATGGTGTGGTCCGTGTTTTGCAGATGTGGAGGGTATCACAAACATCGTTGAGCAGGTGGGAGTGGAAATTGCTGTCACAGTCTAAATGGAACGATAGGGGAGCACCCCAGGGGCTTATCCATATACTAGCGATGGTGTTCACGACGGACGTGGCGTCTTTTCGGAGGAGGGGGCAGCCTCGACCCATTTGGTGAAATAGTCCACCCTGACAAGGGCGTATTCAAATCCGCGGGCAGAGATAGGAAGCGGCCTGATGATGTCTAGCCTGACTCGCTCACCCGGAAACCCGCTGGTCATTGAGTGCATTGGGGCTCGGGGGTGGGGATGGGTGTTTTGACAAATGCGCACGAAGTGTAGGATTGACAGAAGTGTGTGACGGAGGCGCGTAACTGCGGCCACAAGAAGCGTGTGCAGGCGACTAAATCTGTCCGGCGTTGGCCGCAATGGCCTAACTAGGAGTATAGGTCGATTAACAGTGTCGATCAAACAGCCTGGCACCACTGGGCGCAGATGATGGGACGAGGGATCGCGGATGAATAGGACGTCGTGCAGGACAACCAAGTGAGGCCATTAGTACAACAGCAAACGCACTTTTTGGCTCGTTCCTCGCACCTCTTTTCCACTGGGTTTAGATATCCCTTAAGTCAAATGCCAGTAAATGCCAGCGGTATCAGGATCGGAGCTCAGGGCTGAGGACCAGGCGTATCCGCCGGACTTGAAAACGACAATAACCGTTACGTCCTTGTTGCGTGGTTCATCTTCCAGACTGCTTGTGGAGGGGAGTCGTGAAAGTGCATTCGCACTACCATGTTTGTGCCCATCTCGGAACTAGCACTCGAAATCGAAGTCCTGTAAAAATGCCTATCAACGGGCTAACTGGTCCATAGGGGCCCTTACGGAGGGCAACCACTGTAGGCGCGGGGTCCGTACGTAGGATTAACCGTCGGCCGACGAGGAGGTGTTTAACTTGGCGCAAGAATGTGAAGCAATTACGCTGTGTTTTAGTGAGTGTGTTACTGGCGAAACAAATTATGTTTTCTACGACATCCTTACCGATTTGAGAGAGAGCAGTCCCGATGGCAAACCCGCTTGCATCAGTATATAGTATGAGCGGAGATCGTCGTCGTCAAGGTTCGGAAGAGCTAGCAGCGGCGCTGAGCATAATGCCGCACGAAGGTTGCCGAAGGCGGAGTCGCACTCGGCAGGCGGTGTGTAAGACCAGCCTTTTTCAGTGAATTTATATCTTCAAGATAATCCGCACCGACTGAAAACGTGGTCGGAGAAATGGCTTCTAGATTTCAGTATGCAGAAGTGTGCCGTCCATCATCTGCGCCCAACCAACTCTCATTCAAATGAGAGCCGGAGGACATATCACCTGAACGACATGAGTCTCCTTGCAGAATCTTTACATAAGGATCTCGGTGTTTGGATACACAGCGACATGAAACCAGAACTACAGTTCCACGAGGCTGCAAAAAACGCAATGGGAGTGCTGCATGCAATCAAAAGGGCCTTCGTAACCTTTGATTAAAACCTTTTGGAAGAGTTTACGGGACTTTTGTTCGGCCCACTTAGAATATGGCATACAAGCCTGGCGGCCATGGCTAGTAATGAACGTAGCATGACTTGAAAGGGTACAACATCGTGCAACAAAGCTGGCAAACGATTTAAAAAGCCAATCCTACACAGACTGACTGCATTGCCTTAGTTTATTCCTTCTGTGTTACAGGCAGCAAAGAGGTGATGTTATCCTCGTCTACGTAACTTTGAGGACATGTTTCAGTGGCACCTCTCACCCAATCTTCGTGGTTACTCGACGAACTTACGGACAACAATGTCCAGGCTGAATCTTCGTTCTGAATTTTTCACGCAGAGTGTAGTGGAGAAATGGAACGATCTCCCTCAGTCAGTCGTGGAGGTGACGTCTCTACAACTGTTCAAGAAACGCTTGGATGATTATTTGTGTCCCCTGTTTTCCCTCGACAATCTGAATCTGAGTTAAATATCCCGCGACCTCGCACTTGTTTCTCTGAAACAGTGGTACTTAAATGAATCAAGTAATGTTATAATAGCGAATATTTTCATTTTTCGTGTACAGTTATTTCTAACGAGCTGACATGTAATCAATAGGGTTTTCGAAGGCCTTGCCTATTATTCTCAGCACATAAACTGAAATAAACTGAAAGCAGTGACTCGACATCGGTGCCAAACTAAACCCCAAAAGCAGAAGCTTTGGTCAGCGCCTCGGAAGAAAAGTGGCTGACAATATATCGCGCGCGGTCCTTGGCAGTGATTGAAGCCATGTGGAAACTGGCTTGAGAAGGTCAAATATCGATATTGTCACCCGGCTTTAACAATGTCACCGTGTCCGGGGACGACTGCCTCATCTCCAGAACGGACATAAGGACCTGACAATGTTCCGTTACGCCTGCATTGGCAGACAGTCCGGCTGGTTCCGAAGGTGACTGCTGGTGAGTTATGTCGAAAACAGCTGATACCAGTTTCGTAGACGGCAAACGACAAGACATCGTTAAAAATAAGGCCTCTTAGCTAGTAGGGTTTATTGAAGGGCGGGAAGTGGGGAGGCAGCGAGACACCAAGGTGTTCAAGCAGGCAGTTAGGAAAAGCCAACCGCGCACGCTCGGAGAAAACCGAAAGTGCCCTTTTTCAATCAAGCATCGTCTTCCATAGCCTCGTCCGGGATTGGTTCCTCTGTTTCTACATCAAGTTTATATTAGATCAAAGGAAATAACTAAGGTATGGTAATGGGTAATACTTAATTTCCATCAAAGTACTTCTAAGGTCACGTGCGAATGAGTACTTCTCACCTCCTCCACAGCAAGTCGTTCCGTTGTTCTTTTTGTTTTACCGCAACTCACCTCGCATTAGTTTTCCACTTTTTATACTTCATAATAAACCTATGTCTTTTCATTACCGGTCCTGCTTCCTTCGACGTCCATATGCCTGTTTCGCTCGATCCCGCTCGATTGGAGATACATAGACTTCCAGACGGGGTTTCAAAATCAGCTTGTTCATCTGAGTTTAAGCGGGCGTTTCCCCTCCCAACATCATCAGTGATCCGACGTCACTTTCTCTCTCGGACGCTACGATGGTGGCAGCGATACCCCACCCGTCCCTCCCCCCGATGTTCCTGTTCTCCTACCCCCTATACCTAACCCTAAGGTTGATTGCGTTTACACCCTCGGTCCCAGTCCTTTGCTAGCTCCGCAATCGTACAATCTGTAAATGCAACTGCTATTTGGAATAAAATACACAGGAATGTGAAAACTACAAAAGTATCCTTTATTTAAGAGAACTATTACTCGTTTATTGCATTCAGAAAAACTCCCGCACATTTTGGGTGCTGAATCCACTGATCGACTCTACCGTAGCGATGGCGTTTGTGGTCTCTGACCACTATGGCCAGTCTCACCAGAGACAATTTTTCTGGCCAACAGCGACAGCTGTTATTCGGCGCTTCTGTTTGGACCAGTTCCAGCCTCATAAATAGAATTGGCGACTGATAATATCCGATACCGTGTAACCCCTCCCTTCTTGACGGTCGACAGTTTGCGGTCAGCAGTTTTTTCTCCTAGACCCTCCAAACCATAAAAACCACCATCCATTTTATTGTTACACCTTTCCGACAGGAGTTTTTTTTCACTGCTGGCCAGATTTGTGTTTAACGCTTCCCTGACAATGCCTGTAAATTGTCCTCAAGCAAAATTATTATTATTATTATTATCCAGGCCGCAACGCACGTGATTGGCCTTGTAAATTGAAGCTACTTCTAGTAAGCGACCCCGTTACACTTCGTACGTTATTTTTTACGATTTATTTCTTCCCCCACGCTTAAACGTGTTTCCGACGTCGGGACCAACCGCACATCGCTGTTCGGCGTAGCTCGTAGAACAATTTTGCACGCCGTCCTCCACCAGAATGGCTGCCAGCGGTTCACCGCGTTAGGGCAGGCGTGTAATCAATCGGTCGACGAGGAGGCGTACAATTTGTGCGTCAAAAGAAATTTTGTGTCGTCAGTGAGAAATATTGTAGCGGCCGAAGTCACTGAGTGCAGCACACAGGGGGTGGCCGGAAGCACGACAAATAATTCCTGACTAACACCGGGCTGAGAATGCTTGTTAAACGGATCATCGTTCTCATCTAAGTAGGGGACAGGAAAAATCAAACGCTACGACATATATAGGTTAGAAAGAGGGAGTTTAGTGCATCGGAGGGTCATAAATCATACGAGGACAGAGGAGAGTTTCAACAGGAGAGATGGCCTGTCTGAATGGAGAGATGACGCCAATACGCCAGCTAGACAATTGGCAGAGATTGCAGCGCTGTCAGAAACTGAGGAGAGAGTGGGGCCGCAGAAAATGCCGGTTTTGAGCGGGACGAACTT